CGCTTCCCAGAAAAGGAAGTCGCCGTCTTCATCGGCGCCCCCCGCCGCCGACGCCAGCCGCCGCCGACGCCTGCGCTGGCCCGAGGAGAGGGTGGGGGCATAAGTAGGGGAAGGAGGGCAAGGGGGGGTCTGATTCCCCCCCCCGTCAAGCGCCCACAGAACGGATTCTTGTTTTCGGGCCGTCAAAACTCTACGCAATGCGCGCTGGGAGGACGGGGGCCGGGGAGGGCATGAGTGGCGGGTGGCGACTGACGCCTCTGATTGAAGGTGGTGGCACATGTGTGCCTACGGCCGTCTTTGTTGGCCGAGGCGCCGTAGGGGGATCCTCGGCCCCCCCCGGCGCCTATTACGGCAAAGTGGAAGGTTGATTGGTGGGAGTGGGAACCCCGCAGGAAGCTGCGAGGGGTGTGAGGCCGAATGACGGTGCTCACCGACGAGGCCTATTGACAGTCTTCGCCGAGGGGGGGGAGGGGCGAGAAGGAGGGGGTCATCCCGAGTGACGATGCCGTCCGCGATGGCTTCCACTCCTGAGGCGGGATCGCGGCAAATGGGGACCCGAAACCAGTATGCACATTTTCGATTCCGAGGCTGAACATACCCCGCGCAAGCCTTATCCAATCTTGTGGGATAGATGATGGGGTTAGGGGGGCACAAAAAGGACAAAGGAAACCCCAGGCGCTTTACTTCCAAGGCCGTCCGCGGGTCCAACCGCCACGTGTTTGCGCCAACCATGGCTGCCGCTGATCATAGTTTGACCCGCCACCTGTTTCGACCCCGCGCGAGTCTTATCCCATGTTGTGGGATAGATGATGGGGGGTAGCGGGCGGGGGGGTGGAAGACGCGGACGGGGAAAGGGGGAATCCTTTTCACTATGGCACGGTCAACGTCAATACCTCGGACATGTGTCGGGGGGCCTATTCGTGGCTCGGGCTCGCCGCGGCCGGAAAAAAAAACCCTCTGACTTCGTGCGCGGCCGCGTTTCATCGGCAGGTTGGTTTTTGCTCTTATCGGGTGCCTGGCCCGCAATTCGGCTAATTTGTTTTTTTCCTCGAAACGTACGGTTGGCACTTGACTTGGGCCGTTTGCTGGCTGGCTGGTTGCGCGCGTCGATGGTAATTGCGTACGGATGGTGGCCTCGGCAGCGGCTTCGGCGGTCTTCAGGATTGTGGCTTCGGGGGCGCGACTCCATAGTATAAGTTTTTTGGGGCCGTGATTTCGGGAGGGCGAACCTGTCGTTTGTTTGTTAGGGGTTGCGGCTTCGGGATCGCCAGCGCGCCGCAATTTCCAAAAGATTATGTTTCGGGAGCCCGAACCGTTCTTCAGTCACAAGATGTTGTGGCCTCGGGAGCGCAGATCTACCGCAATGTGAAAGGGATTGCGACCTCGGGGACGCAACCCTGTCGTAAGTGACCCCGGATTGTGGCCTCGGAGGCGCGAGTCTGTCGTAGCATACGCGTCCAAGGACCCAGGGGCGAATTTCGAGGAAACGACGGACGGGCCGAACATCCTTCCCCGAAGACATGATTGTTTATTTGTCCGAGCCGTATGTCGACGAACAGCCAGCACCCAGCTGAACAGACGCATTCCTGTCTGAGCAGCTTTCGCCTGTGCCAGCGACAGCACACCAGACGATCTAACAATCAGGCTCGGTTGTTGATATGGCTCGTTTGTGGGGACATGCGCATATCCAAATATAGGAACGTACAGCTTCCTTCAGGTGGGGGAGCAACACAGACACAAGTAATCGTCGATTCCCAAGAAAATATTTGAAAATATGGGAAGTGGGCGGGAAGACCGAAATCCAGAAAATATAGGAAAATATGGGAATATGTTTATCTGTCCCTTGAAAACAGGCGTGGTTGTTGAGATGGCTCATTTGTAGGGAAATGCGCATACCCGAGTATGGGAGAGTACAGTTCCCCGCTCTGGAAGCGAGGTGCTGGCGCACCAGGGCGGCCCCAATTCTTGGCATCGCTCGGACGTGTGCGTTTTTCCTTCGGCGAGGGCCATCGAGGAGCATCCTCGACCATCTGGCGAAAAAAACACGCACGAAACCGAAAACAGCACAGGAAATGGACGTCCGAGCGATGGCGAGCATTGGGGTGAGTTCGTGGCCTCGGGACCGCACAGGCCTGTCGTCTGCACGGGGGTTCGGCTTCCTGGGGCGCGAGCGCGCCGTCATTTGTGACGGGCTGTGGTCCAGGAGGGGAAGAAACGTACAGACACTATTATTCGTCGACTCCCAGAAAATATGCGAAAATATGGAAAGTGGGGGGGAAGACGGGAACCCGGGAAATATGGGAGAATAGGGGATTTCTTTATTTGTGTGTATTTGTTTGAGTGTCCTAGGGCCCCTTCAGTGGTCTCGGGGGCGCGGGCCTGTTTTTTTATGAGTCACAGTGGAAACGCATGCCAAGAAAAACTTGGCGTGCCTCCAGGGTTGCCTGGTTTCTTTGGGCGCCGATGGTTTCACTGCGGAACGCGTAGCATTCCCGCACCAAAAATCAATGGACGTCCCGGGATCTCAGGGTTGGATTTGTGTTGTGGAAGGTGTCTTGTGCTTCCCCCCATGATATAATTTGCGACGGATTGGCTTCGGGGGCGCGAGCCCGTTTTTGTTCGCCAGGGGCTGTGGCTTCGGGAACGCGAGCGCGTTGTAATTTACCATGGTTCCTGGTTTCGGGAGCGCGACTGCGTTGTAACTTACCAGGGATTGCGGCCTCGCGGGTGCGAATCCTAAGTTTTCTACGTGTCACAGGGCACCTCCAGAAATTCAGAGCGCGGAGTGCTGGCGTGGTTGGCGAGTCCTTTTTCTGGATCCTCCCTTCGCGCAGATCTCAATCATTGGAACTACAAAAATAATAACCGAGCATAGGAAATACCTCCGAGGGAGGAGGAGGCACCTGGAAAAAAACCGCGGAGCCTTCCCGAACACGCCGAGCACGGAATGGCCGGCTCGGGGCGCGCGACCCTGCTGCACGCCTCCACGCGAGTCCACCCAGCGGCCTCGGGACCCTTCGGCATACTCCGCAGGAGCAACAAAAATCCTCCGAGGCTCCGGGCCCGCGGGCGTGGCGGCTCTCCTGGGGGGCTCGGCGAGACGACGCATGACCCCGAACTCGGGGGCGGAAAAGATGGGGGTGATGACTACGGGGGGGCGTGGATATCATGGCGGGGGCCATGATATTTCCCCAGATTTTGTGGCGCCTCTTCTTATTTCATTACGGCCCTCGCCCCCCCGCTGGACCGCGCACATGCCGCCGGTCATGATTTGCACCCCCCCCCTCTTGGACACCCCCCTCTTTGGCCGCTCCCGACGAACGCCCGGGAGCACCGCCCTGGAGACGCTGCAGTCGGAAGGAACTGGCACGGCCCGGCAGCAGCAAGCAGCGATCCGGGAGTCGGGGCCGAGGGGGGGCAGGGTCCTCGGCCCGCCCGCCGAAGGAGTCCGTGGAGGCAGGCACGAGCCCCAGGCCGGAGGGTTCCAGGTCTGGGACCTTAGGGGGAGGGGGCTTTCCAGGAGGGGTCCCCCAGCGGCTTCGCGCCCCCTGGTCTGACGAGGGGCCGAGGCCCCCCTGGGGGCTCTTTGGAGAACCCCCTCCCCAAAAACAACCCCCTCTGGAACTTGCATGGACTTCCAGCCCATGTCCCCGAATAGCAGAAGCAGGAAGCAGCGAGCGTTCCGCAAACGCCCCAAAAGAACGCACTGCAGAACGGACCTTGTCGGAATCGCTGAACCTGTAGATCGTGCCGATGGCGTACATGTTGAAGCTTCCCGCATGCACAAGGTTCGAATTGACGCATCATGTCTTTCACATCGGCCGCTTTGCAAGAAACGAGAAGGCACGAGGCTGTAACACATTTTGACGTCCATGCGAAGCCCAGCGGCAGAGGCAGGGAGAGAGGAGGGGGAGGAGGAGGGGGAGGAGGAGGAGGAGGAGGAGGAGGAGGAGGAGGAGGAGGAGGAGGAGGAGGAGGAGGAGGAGGAGGAGGAGGAGGAGGGGGAAAACACGAGGCAACAGGCGCCGACGCGCCGAGCTGCCTGCGGCCGCGCGCAACGAGGGCGCCCGCTGGGCAGCCTCAGGGGCCCCAGCCGCGGCCGTGCACCAAATTAGCCAGGTGCGCCAGGGCGCCCGGCCAGGGGCGCCGGCAGGGCCGCGCGCCACTCGGCGTCGGGCCCCCCCGTGCGCACCGCCGGGAGCAGCAGCAAGCCGGCCGCCTTCGCCGGCAGGACGGGGACGCGCCCGCCGCAGGGCCGCCTTGCGAGGCGCTCCCACCGCGGCGCCCGGCACCCGCAGCGCGGGCACGCCACCCAGCCGGGGCTTTGGGAGGCCACGTGGGCGCGACAGCCGCCGCCCGCGAGCAGCGCCCACGCCGCTTCTGCCGCGCCGGGCCACTGCGCTCCGCCGGCCACGCGGCGCGGCGCGTGGCCAGCGGCCGCGGGGGGCTCCGCGGCCGCGGCCACGACCGCGTCTTCCGCGTCCTGGGGCTGCCGCCTCCGGGGCCCGGGCACTGCCCAGCGCTTGCGCACGCGAGTGCCGCCTGGCCCGTGGGTCCCATGGTTAGCCTTCAGCGCCTCGAGCTCCCCCGCGGCCAACATAGCTTGGAGCGCCGTGAGCGCGGCCAGCCTCGAAACCGAAAAATGCACGGGAGATGGGCGTCCGAGCGACGGCAAGTGACCCAGCGCGCGGTGGCGAAGGCGGACTGGCAGTGTGGCGCGAGCAGGGCCCAGAGGCCTGCGTGCGGCCCAGAGACCGTAGCACGAGGCAGGGCGGCCCGGTGGCGGGCGGCAATCGGGAGTGCCAGCCTTTGAGAGAGAGAGAGAGAGAGAGAGACAGAAAGGCCGCCGCCGCATGCTGCCCGACGTGGGTCGTGGGCCAGGGCAGCAGCTGAGGGAGGAGGAGGTGGAGGTGGAGGAGGAGGAGGAGGAGGAGGAGGAGGAGGAGGAGGAGGAGGAGGAGGAGGAGGAGGAGGAGGAGGAGGAGGAGGAGGAGGAGGAGGAGGAGGAGGAGGAGGAGGCGCTCAGAAGACCCGACGGCGGCGCTCGGGGCGCCGACGGCTGCTGGCCCCGCGAGAGGCGAGGGCCTGGTCGCCACAGTGCGGGCGGGCCCCAGGACGGCGGTGCCCTGGGGGTGTGCACCGCGCTGCGGAGGGCGAGCACGCAGGACAGTCCTCGGCTCGACCGAAGTGACGTGGAACATAGGGGGGCAGGCTCAGGGTGTTCGCAAGTCCCCGAACGTCTTCGGACTTGGCATCGCTCGGACGTGTGCATGTTTCCTTCGGCGAGGGCCATCGAGGAGCATCCTTGATCGTTTGGCGAAAAAACCACACACGAAACCGAAGAAAGCACAGGGAACGGACGTCCGAGCGATGGCCAGCAGAAGGTTTCGAGGCCCCGGTCGATTTCCATCCGCAGCGCCTCGTCGGGAGCTTTCCGGGGGTGCCGAACTGGCCCCGAACGGCCGCCAGAGAGCCGAGCTGTGGCCCGAGGAAACCAGGGGGCAGCCTTCCTTCGCATGGACTAAGACTGGGGACAGAGGCCGACTCCTTTCAGGAGGGGGAAAAAACACACAGACACAATTAATCGGCGATTCCCAGAAAATATTGGAAAATAAGGGAAGTGGGGGGGGAGACAAAAACCCAGAAAATATATGAAAATATGGTGGATGTTTTATTTGTGTGTATTCATTTGTGTGTCCCAGTTCCCCTTCATCCTTGTCCCCTTGTCCATTTTGAACACGCCGCTGTCCCCTCGAGACAGAACATCGCCTGCCCAGCAGCGGCCGGATCTGACCCATGCTCGTCCGTACCATGTCGGGCGCGCCAGCAAGTTCGGACATGTTGAGCCCTTCGCATGGTGCACAACAAACAGCAGTGCCGTTTTTAATGCATGCTCCGCGTGCGGATCATGTATTAAAAATGCACGGATTTAGTATCAAAAACAACGATGAGTTCATGCATAGATGTATTCATTACCCCAGTGCGACCCTACCTAAAAGTTGGAGCCCCTAGGAAAGCAGCATTAGTTGCTATGCTATGCCATGCCACACCATGCTATGCTGCGCTATGTTCTGCTATGCTATGCTATGATATGCTGCGCTATGGTATGCTATGCTATGCTAGGCTAGGCTAGACTATGCTATGTCATGCTGCGTTGTGCTATGCTAAAGTATGCTATGCTATGCTATGCCAATATGCGCTATGCTATGATATGCTATGCTACGCTATGCTATGAGGTGGTCTGCTATGCTAAAGCTCAGCGAAGCTAAGATGAAGGTAAGCTAAGCTAAGATAAACCTGGGCTAAGATGAAGCTAAGCTAAGCTAAGATGAAATAAGCTGAGCTAAGATGAGATAAGCAACGCTAAGCTAAGGGAACGTCACTGGGGGAACCGCGGGGCGGATCCTGGGGGAACCGCCCGGGGCGTGTTCCATTGCCAGGCCCCTTTAAGCTAACAGGGTAAGAACCCTTCTAGGCAGAGCCTAGGTAGGGAATTAGTCATGCACTAAAAATCCTATATGCTTAAAAATCCTATGTATCAAAAACTGCCCTGAGCATACGCAAGGGCCTTGTCGTTATGCTCTGCCTCTGAGGGGCCCTGCCGGGCCCCCGGCGGCGGTCAGACGACGGCTCGGGGTGGGAAGCCCGCCCCGGAGGTGCCGCCTGAGTCTCCGAGTGTCGGGGGCGGCAAAGAGGGGGGTGATGACTGGGGGGGGGGGGGAAATCAAGGCGGGGGCCATGATATTTCCCCAGATTTCATGGCGCCTCTTCTGATTTCAGTACATCCCTGGCCCCCCCGCTGGGCCGCGCACATGCCGCCGGTCATGATTTGCACCCCCCCCCCTCTTGGACAGCCCCCTCTTTGGCCGCTCCCGAGAGTGGTCTTTGGCATCGCTCGGACGTGTGCATCTTGTCTTAAGTCGGGCCTGTTCCCCTACAGGGGGATCTTCGACGAAACATAAAACATACCCCAAAAAGAATCAAAAAATAGTCCAAAAATAGTCTGGGGACTATTTTTGGAGTATTTTTCCAACTTTTTGGGGTATGTTGGGTTTTTTTATGTTTCGTCGAAAATCCCCCTGTAGGGGGACACGCACGACTTACATCTTGTCCCGGCGAGGACCATCGAGGAGCACCCCGGACCATCGAACAAACACACGCACGATACCGAAACATGCGCGGGGAATGGTCGGGGGTGGACAGAACCCCCAACAGTGACACGTCGATTAGTGAATTGCCCGTTTTCAGTTCTCGAGAGGGCGCCGCGGCCGTTATTTTCCAGGATTGCGCCCGCCAGGTTTGGGCCCGATATCGTTTTCACTAAACCACGTTTTACTAAAGGGAGGTCTGTTCATCCCCGAAATGGACGTCCGAGCGATGGCAAGGGCCGCGCTGTGACGAGTGCACGGCGCGGGAGGCTCGGCACTCCGCAGAGGCGCAGAGGCCTGCGATCACGCAGCCCTTGCGCCTGCCAGGGCCCTCGTGCGCCACAGGTCAGGAGGGAAAGAAACACACAGACAAAATTAATCGTCGACTCCCAGGAAAATATGCAAAACTATGGGAAGTGGGGTGGAAGACAAAACCCCAAACAAATGGGGAAATATGGGGAATCTTTTTATTTGTGTGTATTTATTTGTGTGTCCTGGGGCCCCTTCAAAAGGGTGGTGTGTGCTTGTTTCTGGGCGCCAGGAGCCAGCAGCCATGGCGTGCTGACTCCGCATAGGGCTCCTGCGCCCCAGCACTGAGCCAAGCCAGGGCCCTCTTTGGGCCCCAGGAGATGGTGTGCAGACCCTCCCGGCCTCGTCCAGAAGCGTGCATCGAGAAGCACATGAACACGAGTCATGAGCATACACATACAGTCGGGGCACTGAAGAAGGAACCCTTCTCGTTAGGGAGGGGCTCCGTGTTCCTTGATTGTTCCGCAGCTTGCCTTAGGTTTTCCTTCGGTTTTCGATGGGACATCGAACGAAAACTCATGGGAAAAAGGGGCCTCGTTCCTTATTCAGGGTTCCTTAGGTCAACGTCCCGACTGTACACATAAATGGTCGGAGCTCCGCGCTGATCTCTTGGACCGGCGCTGGAGTCCCCCTCGGCGGCGCCTCCGGCGCCGCCCCTGGCCGTGCCGATCCCAGGAGTTCGGCGCGGACCTCTCGAAGTTCATATGTTTACCCGTCGGTCGTTGAGGGCAGGTACTTCTGGACTCCCATCGGGCCGAACGAAAGGGGGGGACAGGGAAAGGGGGGGTTACGAAATCTGCTGCATGCAGCTGGTTTCGGGCCCCGCCGCCGGGCCCATTCATCGATACATGGGCGCCTTCCGGCGCCCGAGGCGCCGGGAAAATCAGTTTCGTGAGCTGATTCTCACCCCCCCCCTTTGCTATCCCCCCCTTTCGCCCGGCCCGATCCCAGATTCCAGTCTGCTTTCAGCGCCTTCTTACTTCAATGATCGAGTGGCTTCACCTTTTCCGTCCTCCCAAGGGGCGGACGGAACCCAATCTATTTTCAACACCTTCCTCCGAGCATTTTCTAGGGGTAGAGGGCACAGGGTGACATCTGAAATGCCGTTTCGATGGGTTTTCGAGGCTTGAAAATGCGAAAGGTGAATCACAAGACGGATTGATTTTCGAGGTGCAAAAGCCCATTTGGATTTCACCCTAAGCCCTCCACCCTAAGAAAGCGCTCAGTTCCTGCTTCATGCTTCTGCCTACTTCTTCCGACCGATGGGTATGGCATGTTCTGTTCCTCGGGTGTGCACCGTGCCAGGGCCCGGGATGGCTCTGGCCAGGCATGGGTGGTGCAGAGCTCGGGGGGCAGCGGGGAGTTCGGGGTCCTCGCACGGTTTTGAGACCCGGGTCGTTCTCCGAGGAGGTATCGGGCGACTGGGGCATCCAGAGTCCCAAGACCGTGCGGTCACGGACCGTGCGGTGAGGTCTCTCGGGGTTCGGAGGTGACCGCGCGGTGGGCCACCACACGGCTTTGGGGCTTGCAGATGGTTGCCTTCCGAATGTCAGAAGCGGTCTGTGGAGGGAGAATCACTCTCTGCCAACATTTGGCATTTGTCCTGGTCTGGGCGGGTTTGGGGGCTCGGTGGTTTTCAGCCCTGGCGAATCACGCCACAGTCAAGACGCCGAAATGAGAACTGGTTGGGGCTCAGGAGGGGCTAGGATTGAGTCGGGCAGGTCCCTCTACAGGAAAAATATTCAAAAATAGTGGCATCGTGCTTGAGAACGATGTTCTACTAGTCTTGACGACTTTTGAATGTTGTTGGGCTACTTTTCATTTTCTTCCAAAATCCAACTGTAGGAGGACATGTCCGACCTAAGGGTCGGATTTTCGTGTAGGATTTTCGTGTCGTTCCTTAGATCTCAATAGGGCAGGGAACCTATTCGTGTGAAGAGCCCCGACGTTCCTCACAGCTGGGGCGCTGAAGAAGGAAGGAACCCGTTTCGTTGGGGATGGGCTCGGTGTTCCTTGATTGTTTCACAGTTTGCTCAAGGTTGTCGTCAGGGTTCCCACAGGAAACCGAAGTTTAAGTCATGGGAAAAAAAAGCCTCGTTCTTTATTTAATAGCTTCGCTCATTCCGCCGGCCCTGGAGCGCTATTTGGGGCCTCTTGGGGCCGTCTTGGGGGCTTCTTGGGGGCTTCTTGGGAGCGTCTTGGGGCTCCTTGGCGGCGTATTGGGCTCCCCTGGGGCCTCTTGGGGGGCTCTTGGGGGCCCCTTGGGGCGGGAGGGGGGTAGTCGTTGGCAGCCCCCCCCTCGGAGGCCACGATCCTCGTGAGGGGTGGCGAAAAATAGCCTCCCCCCTGGGGATCGCCTGGGGATCAGCCCGGGATCGGCCGGGGTATTGTTCGTCTGGGGCTCCCCAGGAGCCGCCCCGCGCGCGAACTAGAAATATTGTTAAGTAGTTACCGGAGCACGCCTCTGGCCCGTTGGGCTGGCGAATTTAGGGTTCCTTAGGTCAACGCCCCGACTGTATTCAGCGGTCCTTCAGCTTGGCATCGCTCGGACGTGTGCATTTTTTCCGGCGAGGACCATCGAGGAGCATCCTTGATCATTTGGCGAAAAAAACACGCACGAAACCGAAAAAAGCACAGGGAATTGACGTCCGAGCGATGGCCAGTATTTAGGGTTCCTTAGGTCAACGCCCCGACGATACTCAGCGTTCCTTCGGGGTGCTCGGGCGCGGCGGGCCACGCCCTGCGCCTCCCGAGCGACCCAGGGCACGCACACCCGCGGCGCTCGCCTTCTGGGGCCCCCACTGCCACGAGGTTCCGCCGCGCTGCGCGTCACATAAGAGCCCCGCTTCCGCTCTCTGATGATCCTCTTCCTTCCTCTTCCCTCCTCTCTCCTCTCCTCGTCTTCCTCCGCCTGCTCGCTCCTCGTCCTCCACCTGCCTTCCTCATTATCATCCTGACCAGCATCCTTCCCTCCTCATCCTCCTCCGCGTCCTTCTTCTCCATCGCCAGGGGCCAGCAATACTTCTGGATCTGGGAAGGCGCCGGGAAGCCCGCCGGGGAGGACGCATGCTGGCCCAATTCTTGGCGCTTCGCGTATCCCCACCAGCCGTTTCTCCCTTCCGCTTGCGCAGTTTAGGCCGCAGCTTGTGTGTTACGACTTCCGGACGGCGTTCGGCACTTCCGATGCGCTCGCGATCAAAAAGTATCCCCACCAGCCAGCCCATCCAGAAACGATGCCCAGGCGAGTTGCCTCTCGGAGTCGCCCCGGATGTCTCTCAGAAGCTTGTTTGAGGCTTCTTGGAGCGTCTTGGGGGCCTCTTGGCGGTCCCGGCGGTCTCTTGAAGCGTCTTGGCTTGGGTGCCTCGGGGGGCCTCTTGGGGCCTCTTGGGGGTCTCTTGGGAGACTCATGGAGGCCTCTTGGGCGGGGCCTCCTTGGCGCCTCTTGGGTCCCTCTTGAGGCGCTCTTGGGAGCCTTGGAAGCACTCTTGGGGCCATCTTGGAGGAGATCGATCAAGCAGGATGTGAGCTTCAATTACGTTCCCCCCTCGGCAGCCCCAAAAATCGCTTCTTGGGCCCCTCTTGTCTTGGAACACTCTAGGGGCCGTCTTGGGGCTCTCTTGGGCCTCTCTTGGGGCCCTCGGGGGCCCCCTTAGAGCTGCGTGAGGCCTCGGAAGGCCATCGGAAGCGAAAAACGAGACTCATCATTGATTTGCCTCGAGCTTTTGAAGGGTTTTGGCCTCTTGGCGGCCTCCTGGGGAGGCTCCGTGGCCACTTGGAGCCGTCTTGGAGTTTCTTGGAGCATCTTGGGAGCCAGATTGAGCCATGTTGGGCTATCTTGGACCGTCTTGGAAGTCATCTTGGGATCCCTGGGGCCCACTTGGAAACGTCTTGGGCCATCTAAGATGCTCTGACCGCTCGCGGGGCGCTCCATCCAGGTCTAGGGGAGGGGGTAGGGGGAGGGGTCAAGTTACCCCCTCCCCGCCCGCAAGCCGTCTCGCTCACTCCCACCCGCCCTCCCAACACATACGTACCACCCGAGTCTGGCCCGAGCCTCAGCATATTCAGCAGTCGTCTTCGGATGGGCAGCTACTGGGGGCCAATCCGCAGCCGCCGCCGCCGCCGCCTCCGCCGCCGCCGCCGCCGCCGCCCGCCGCCCGCCGCCGCCGCCGCCGCCGCGCCGCCGCCGCCGCCGCCGCCGCCGCCTGCCGCCGCCGCCGCCGCCCGCCGCCGCCGCCGCCGCCGCCTCCCGTTGCCTAACCGCAGCCGCTGCCGCCGCCGCCGCCCCCGCCCCCGCCCCCGCCGCAGCCGCAGCCGCAGCCGCAGCCGCCGCAGCCGCCGCAGCCGCCGCCGCAGCCGCCGCAGCCGCCGCAGCCGCCGCCGCCGCCAATTGTACTCTGTATTGTTGTTTGACAGGGATGGTGGGGGGGACCGCATCGGGCTGGCTGCGCATGTTCCGAAGTTGGAGGCAAAGTGTGTGTTTGTATTTTTTACAAGGGATGGTGGGGGGGGTGTCGGCATGAATTCGGGTTGGCCCCCATTCGCCTGGTGGAGGGGGTGTTTATTCATAGGGAACAGTGATCAAGACACCCTCGCCACACACAGGCCGTCTAGCTCACTCCCACCCGCGCTCCCACCACATAAGTGGCATCCGAGTCTCGGCATAGCCAGGGGTCGCCACTGGATGGACAGCCACTGGAAACCAAAGTGGACGCCATGGGCGCGACGCTCGCCGCGGGCTCCACATGCGGTTGGTGCGCCATCTTTTTGTTATTCCATATATATATATATATATATATATATATCCATAATACTCATGCTATTAATAATAATAATAATACATAGGGTATACTATTATTTTGTATTCAAAAAACAACAACATAAAAAAAAAAAAAAAAAAAAAAAAAAAAAAAAAAAAAAAAAAAAAAAAAAAAAAAAAAAAAAAAAAAAAAAAAAAAAAAAAAAAAAAAAAACGTGCCCTGCAGCCCTTGGCCCGGGGCGATTGGAGCCCTCAGCGGCCTCGTGATGGGTGCTCTGGGGGGAATGAGCGTTTTCAAGTTTTGTCGGCTTGCGACAATGCCCCCCCCCGCTCCAGAACCAGGGGTGTCCCCCTCCCCCTCTGAAAAAATGCCCAACCCACCCTCTCCATAACCTGAGGAGCTCCTCAGCGACCCCCCCCCCTTTTTTAATAATCGGCGACGACATCGACGAAAATGATGGCGGCGAAGACGACCCCCCGACAGCGACGGCCACGAATATGAAACGAATGCGATAAGTACCGGCGGACAATGACGTTGCCAACGACGACGACGACAACGAAGACGACGACGACGACGACGACGATGACGACGACGGACGACGACGACGGCGACGTCGACGACGACGACGTTGCGACGACGACGACGACGACGACGACGACGACGACGACGACGACGGGCCGTCAAAACGTTAAAAAGGGCGGACGGACGTTCAAGTAATCCAGCGACCAGGACCCGAACGGGCGGGTGTGACGGCTGGGATTTGAGCGGGCGATACCGCCATCAGCATTCATACCATCATCATCAACATCATAATCATCCGCAGCAGCATCTTCAGCATCATCATCGTCATCAGTGGTTTCGTCGGCATAGTCTTCACAATCTTGATGTTGGGTCGAATGATAGCATTCGTCGTCGTCACATCGTCTCAACCATCCACATAACCGTCCTTGCGCGACGCATCGCCATTACCACATTCAGCAGCAGTGCCAAATGCAATTTCTATGGTCACCATTTCCATCATCACCACCACCGTCATCATCACCAGAATCATCATCACCACCGTCAGAGATCTTAAGCAATGTTGGGGGATTGGCAACCTTCTGCCTTCAGTACAGTCTCTTCCTTTTCCCGTTTCACCGCCCGCCCTTCCAGTCTTGTGTTCTGTGTACATCAGTTACGATGCTCGGCGCAGGTGCTGCCCCCGCGTCGACAGCAGCCGCGAGGCTGGGAGGCCCCGAGAGATTCGACTTCAATTCTGGCGAAAGACAAGTCAGGCAACCGAGTGCCGAAGATGACGGCATGACAGACGCGGAGTCCGACTTCGCTTTCAGGACTGGCGGCACGGCTGCCCCTCTTCGCGGCAGCGGCCCCAGCTTCCTTTTTCCATCAGGCGGCCCCCGTTCAGTCCGGGCCCGAAGGTCTGGCCATGGTGCCCGCTATCAAGATGTCCCTGACCCCCGAGTTGATATTCATCGGGCAGGGCGTTCAAGCGATGAGCCTCAAGCGGACCAGGAGGCAGACCAGCATTGATCTCAAGATGGAAGGTACGTATCCGTGGATGAATAGTTTCAACAACCGCTTGGACATGACAGACCGAGCGATGCAGGACCTCGCCTCTCGCACGTCCGCCTCGACAAGGGCAGCATCGAATCTAAACAACCCACGGTTGGCGCTGTTGGCGGCGGCAGACCGGCAGGAGCGTTCAGCCACCCAGCGAACCCTGACAGCCGTGAGGCAGAGTGGGTCCCGAAGACTGGGCGCCAGGCCATCTTCGCCAGGGGGTTCGCGCAAGACACCGAGAAGGCGACGATCATCACGGCCCAGAGAGACACCACCAAAGGCAACCCGATTTTCCCCAGTTGGCCACGACCAGGCCTAGTTAAGGACGTGTTCACGCCAGGCCCATGTCAGCTCCATCGGACATTAAGTGGAGGTCATTTCAGACTGCGCTGACCTCTCATAGTCGTTCAAGGCACATGTTCCAGCACGGTCGCCGACCCCGTTTTCGCCATGCCGATTGCGCGGGGGATGCGCGCCAGATGAGCATGGGGGCGTCGGAGGCCAGGTGCACAGGGATCAAGCGCATGAAAGAGATCCATTGTTGCTTGGCTTCTCGCCAGGAACCCCGTCCTGGGAGGACGTCGCCCAGACCGCGCTCAGAGGCTGGAGCACGGGCATCGCCAGGCCCCGAGTGCAGGGCGGCATGATGACGTGGCTGCGCGGGCGCAACCGCGCCACGGGCGCGCTTGGGGTCTCGCGGCAGGCGCAGGCGCCCCATTTCAATTTACGCTTCGCCGCGCTTGTTCAGGACATCGATATCGGAACGCGCTGCAGCCCGGCCCAACGGCGCCCCAGGCGCGACGCTCGACATTGAAAGTTCTGCTTCGGCGCGCGCTACAAGAAGCGCCAGGCATGAAGTGAATTGCGTTTGCACAGACTCGGAGATTGAGCGCCATAGGGATTCTTGCGAAATCCCGGAAGCGGCGTGTTCAGAACGCTCTCAGATGGGCGCAATGGACAGGGGCGCATTCCCAATTTTTCTGAGCCCCCACGACAGGCGAAAGAGGGCCGCGAACATCGTTGATCGATCTTTCGCGGAAGACGTCGGCGCCGATTTCAGATAGCGGGGAGAAGCGACGTCCGCGAGGCTTCATTGGGGTTCCCAGAGCACCCTCGTCATTAGTGCCCGCTCGCCTCCACGTCATTTGTTAGGGTGCAATGCTAGTTCTGATGTTGTAAATGTTGATCGCCGAGAATACCTGCCACTGCCTCGCGACGGGCGCGGGCGCCCAGTCTGCGATTGGCAACGCGTGGGCTGCTCCGCGCGTCGGCCCTCGAACTACCCCCCGCCGCGACCCGGCCGCCCCCCCCCCCCCCCCTGCTTGGATTTGGCCAAGACCCACGACCTGCCCCCGCGCGCGCCGCCACCCGCCCACCCCCCCCACCCACCGCCATGAAGATGCCCGAAGGGGCTGCTGGACATTCCGTGAAGTTTTCAAATTTGGTTTCCCAGGATATCAAGTGCCAGCTGCCGCCTCGCACCACGCGCACGGCGCGCTGCTCGGCGGATTGGCAGACGCGAGACGCACCTCTTCCAAGCATGCCGCGAGTTCGAGCCTCCGATGTTTGAAGAACCGATTTGCGACGACGCGATGGCCCCCAGCGCCCGGCATATCTGAGCGGAGGTTGGGGTTCAAAGGGGCGGCAATGCCGAAGTGGAATGAGGCGACGGTCGGATGAGGTCCATTGCGTTTCCGCAGGGCTTCGGTGCGCCAGCTTCTAGGACCAGTCGCGGGCGATCCGCAGCGCCAGTCTTTCCCGCGGGCGGCCCGGTCCGACGTTCGAATGACACCGCGTGGATCACAGCGCTGATCGAACG